CTACTACTACTACTACTACTACTACTACTACTACTACTACTACTACTACTACTACTACTACTACTACTACTACTACTACTACTACTACTACTACATATACTACTACTACTACTACTACTACTACTACTACTACTACTACTACTACTACTACTACAACTACAACTACAACAATTACTACTACTACTACTACTACTACTCCTACTACTACTAGTAGTATGACGACTACGACTGCGACTACTACTACTACTACCACTACTACTACGACTGCGATTCCTACTACTACTACTACGACTACTACTACGAGTACTACTACTACTACTACTACTACTACTACTACTGCTACTACTACTACTGCTTTGCGACCACCACGAGGAGTACCACTACTAATGCTACTACGACTACTGCAACTACTACTACGACTAATACTACTACTACTACTACTACTACTACTACTACTACTACTACTACTACTACTACTACTACTACTACTACCCCCACTGCTACCACTGATACCCCTACTTCTTCTGCCATTGCTACGACCACTACTACTTTTTCTGCCACTACTACTACTGCCACTACTACCTACCATTAGGAGTACCACTACTACCACTCCTACTGCCACGTCTACCACAAGCACCACAACTCTTACCCATACTACGACTACTACTGCTACTACGACTACTACTACCACTACTTCTACGACGACGACTACTACTACTATTACTACTACTGCGCCTACTACTATTACTACTACTGCTACTAATACTACTACGACTACTACTACTACTACAACTACTACAACTACTACAACTACTTCTACTACTGATACTGTTACGACCACCACTAGGGATACAACCAGGACTACTACTACTAGCACTACTACCCTTACCTCTTCTGCTACTACTACTAATGCCAAGACTACCACTACTAAGAACTACTACTACTACTACCACTACTACCACTAGTACGACTGCTACCATAACTACTTCTACTACTACTACTACTACTACTACTACTACTACTACTACTACTACTACGACTGCTACTACTACTACTACTACTACTACTACTACTACTACTACGACTACTACTACTACTACTACTACTACTATTACTACTACTACTACTACTACTACTACTACTACTACTACTACTGCTGTTGCGAACACCACTCGGAGTAGCACTACTACTGCGACTACTACTACTGATACTACTACTACTACTACTACTACTACTACTACCACTGATACCCCTACGTTTTTCTGCCACGACTACGACCACTACTACTACTTCTGCCACTACTACTACTACTGCCACTACTACCTACTATTAGGAGTACCGCTACTACCACTCCTACTGCCACGCCTGCCACAGGTACCACAACTCCTACTCATACTACGGCTACTACTGCTACTACCACGACGACGACTACTACTACTACTACTACTGCTACTACTACGCCTACTACTACTACTACTACTACTACTACTACTACTACCTCTACTACCTCTACTACTGCTACGAATACGACTACGACTACTACTACCACTACTACTACTAAAACTACTTCTACTACTAATGGTGTTACGTCCACCGCTAGGACTACAACTGCTACTACTAGGACTACTACTACTAGTTCTTCTGCTACTACTACTAATGCCACGACTACCACTACTACTACTACTACTATTACTACTACTACTACTACTACTACTACTACTACTACTTCTACAACTACGATTACTATTACTACTACTACGACTCCTACTACTACTACTACTACTACTACTACTACTACTACTAGTACTACTCCTACTACTACTAGCACTACCAGTAACACTACTACTACTACGACGACGACTACTACTACTACTACTACTACTACTACTACTACTACTATTTATACTACAAGTACCACGAGTACTACTGCTACCACAACTACTTCTACGACTACTACTACTACTGCTGCTACTACTACTACTACTATTACTACTAAACTAACTACTACTACTACTACTACTACTACTACTACTACTACTACGACAGAATTCTCCTACTCGATTCTATCTACTACTTCCTACTACTAACTACTACTTTCTACTACTACTGCGACTACTACTACTCTACTCACTACTACTACGACGACTACTACTACTACTACTACTACTACTACTACTACTCACCTACTCTCTACTAACTAGGCTTGACTTAAACGACTACTACGTACGCGTACTAACACTACAGTATTGCTACTACTACTACTACTAAACTACTACACGACTACTACTATTACTACTACCACTACTATAACTCTACTACCTATACTACTACTACTACTACTACTACTCTTCTACTACTAGTACTACTACGTACTCCCACTACTACGCTACTACTACTACTACTACTACTACTACTACTACTACTATACTACTACTACTCTTTACTACTACTACTACTACTACTAACCAACTACTACTACTACTACTACTGAAATACTAACTACTACTACTAACCACTACCCTACTACTACTATTACTAACTACTACTACTACTACTAACTACTTCTCTACTACTACTACTAACTACTAGTACTATTAACTACCCCTACGCTACTCTACTACTACTACTACTACTACTACTACTACTACACGACTTCTTCTTCGCTCTTCACTACTACTACCACTACCACTACTACTACTACTACTACTACTACTACTATACTACTACTACTAACTACGACTACTACTCCTTCTCCTGCTCCTACTCCTCCTACTCCCTTACTCCTTCCGACTCCTCCTACTACCTCCTACTCCTCCTCCTCCTCCTCCTCCTCCTCCTCCCTCCTCCTCCTCCTCCTCCTCCTCCTCCTCCTCCTCCTCCTCCTCCTCCTCCTACTACTACTACTACTACTACTACTACTACTACTACTACTACTAGTAAAAAAAATACTACTATTCGTACGAGAGTACGCGTTTCAGGGGCGCTTGCCTTGGGAACACTCGGCAGCGCGTTTCGAAACGGGGGGTGTCCCCCCCCCCAACCTTCGGCGGCGTCGATCAAAACCATAAAGGATCCCTCTCCACCCTCCACCACCACCCCTCCCGAATCCCCTCCATCCCCTCCCAGGGGGGGAGGGTTCAAACCCCCCCCCCGCGCCGGCGCCGGCGGCCGCCGGCAACGCCAACGGCGGGGACGCAGCGACGATGACCAGAGGCAGCCCAGAGGCGGGGACGCAACGACGATGACCAACGGGTTCAACCCTTTCCCCCCCCGGCGCCGAGGGAGGGGGGGGGGTGAACGCTGGCGCCGGCGCTGGCGGCGGCCAGCAGCGCTGGCGCTGGCGCCGGCGACGGCGGGGACGCAGCGACGATAACCACCACTACCACAACCACCGCCACTACCACCACCACCACCGTCTCAGACCACCACCACCACCACCAACCCACCACACAACCACCACCACCACCACAGCCACCACCACCACAACTCACCATCACCACCACCACCACAAAAACCCACCGACGCACCACCACGACCACCACCACCACCACAATCTACAACGCCACCACCACCCCCGCCACAACCACCACCGCTACCAGCAGCACAACCCACCACCACCACCACAAACCACCACACCACCACCACCACCACCACAATCTACCACGCCACCGCGACCTCCGCCACAACCACCACCGCTACCAGCAGCACAACCCACCACCCCCACCACAAACCACCACACCACCACCACCACAGCCGCCACCACCACAATCCACCACCACCACCACAAACCACCACCACACCACCACCAAACCACCACAACCACCACCACCACAACCCACCACCACCACCACAAACCACCACCACAAATCACCACCCACCACCACACCGACCTCCACCAACCACACACACCACCACAACCACCACAACCACCACCACCACAGTACACAAACCCACCACACCACCACCACCACTAACCACCACCACCGCCACCACCAACCACCTCCGACCCCACCACAACAGCCCACACCACCACACGTCGTCCTCGTCGACCCGCCCACCGCCGCCGCCACCCGCCGCCTCAATGCGCCGGCGCCGGCCCATAAAAGGCAATCGCGTCCACACTGCCGCGCCGCCGTGCAGCCGAAGATAGGGACAGTAGGTAGGGATTGGACGGGGGGGTCTGGTCGAACCCGCAGCCCCCCCTCCTCCAAGCGACAACAGAAGAACGCATTTCTTTCACGATTTTACTACTACTCCTATTTCTATCACTAGTACTACTACTAATACACGACTACTACTACTAGCTAACTAACTAAACTACTACTACTACTACTCTACTACTACTGCTACTACTATTACTACTGCTAGTACTACTGTTACTACTACTACTTCTACTACACTACTACTACTACGACTACTACTACCATAACTACTACTACTACATACTATTTCTACTACTACGTACTACTACTACTACTCTACGACTACGAACGACGACGACGATTGCTACGACTATTGCTAAAAGGACTGCTGCTACCACCGACTACTACTATTGCTACTACTTTAAAGTAACTACTTCTAACCACTTACTGCGACTGCTACTACTACTACTAACTACTACGACTACTACTGCTACTACTACTACTACTAACACTACTACTACTAACTACTAACTATCTACTCGACTACTGCGACTACTACAACTACTACGACTACTACGACTACTGACTACTACTACTACTACTACTACTACTACTACTACTACTACTACTACTACTACTAACTGCTATGACGACTACTACTACTACTACTACTACTAATTCTTCTACTCTACTACTACTAACTACTA